ATATGCTCTGCTTTGCTTAAATGTTTGCTTAAAAGTGTAGTTAAGTGGCTGCGGTTGACATGTGAAGGGTGAAACCTGTGCAATTGTATGTCAACACGTATGCCATTGATTCTTCAATGTCGCCGCATGTGATTGCGTCCCATTGCACATGCGATGTGTGAATTAATTGCTCTTAAAGTAAGTGTGATGTGTGAATGATTTGCTCTTGAAATGAGTGTGATGTGAAAGTAGAAACCACATTCGAGCCTAATCAAGCCTCCTCCTCTTGCTCGGTGGTACTACTTCTTCACCCCCCCTCTCTCTCTCTCTCTGAACCCATCAAACAGCCACAAGTAGTTTCTGCTCAACTTCCTACACTTGTTCATTCTATTCAGGGGGTTGGTTGTTTTGTTGATTTATATCGCCCCTCAAATCCTTCGTTTATTGGTTGGTATTGGTTGGAAACGTCGGTATTGTGGAAAATTTCTACTAACATTCCCTCATCACATTAAACGAAATGGGACGAATACATCTCATGTGCCAAAATAATTGTTGGTGTTGCGGCTAGTAGCATCATCTAAGCCCACTCAAAATGTCAGATCCCCCAAATCTCAACTTATTCTCATCCTCCCCACCCTGCGCCTCTCCCTTTCCTTCTCTCCACACTCCACTGCCTCGACTAACTCGTCATGAAGGTGCCATACAGCGTGACTGGCTGGCTGGAGAAGAACAAGGATCCTCTCAATGAGTCGGTCATCAGTTTGCTCGAGGCGTCGAAGGAGGCGCTCGTCTCGTCCCTCTTTGCTCCGGCAGATGGTGAGTTCTCGGTACCCCCAAAGGGGAGCACACCAAGATGGATTTTCACTTTTTTCTGTATGTTGGGATGTGCTCTCATGCGTGTAAAGAAGGGGCTGCCTTCTTAGACAAACCTCATGGGCGCCTTAGCGCTGCCAAGTCAGTAGGTGGGATCTTCTCTCCTCCCTTCGCTTGGCAACCTCACGTATCTTTTTTCACTTTTTTGCCCTCCATCCCCTCAACTTCAGTGGGTAAGGGGGGAAAGAAGAAGGGCGGCTCATTCATGACCGTCTCCTTTGTGCATCGGGTAAGTGTTCTCTACGGCTGCGACAAATCGGCACTGCACGTACCACCCTGACGACACCTGCACACATACAAAGCTGCAAACCGGATGTTGTCTTTTGATGCCAATGTCTGTGTGGATTTGCTTTAAGAATTCTTCATCACACCGCCTTGTCAGTCCGATGAGTCCGCGATGC